ATTCAACAAATATGGTGTCGATAAGAAACTCCAGCATACCGACCACCCGTGTAGTGAAGGATCAAGTTTCTTCTTCACGGGATTTCTTTTATATTGTTTGTATTACTAATGACCGTAATTGTACAATACATTACTGAATAGTTAGAGAATATTAAATTTGAATTAAAGTTGAACAAATCATTTATATAGGTTTTATCTCGGGTTTTTTTTTTTTGTCCTGCCATAAACTGCAGTTATTTTTAAAGGATTTAAATGCCTTCTCCTTTGCTCAATATTCTTTGAATACCTTGACTAGTTTGGAAAAAAAACATGGACGATATCAATTTTGTTTTTTGTGGGGACCGTGAATGTTATTCTGTGTTTATTTCAGTTGTTCGTCTCATTTATATGTGGAAGGAGTACATATCGGCCAATGAAGTCTGTATAATGCGAGTAAGAACGATCACGTTGTAAAGTATCAATAGAAATTTGTACTGCTGAGAAATAGGAAGTTCGTAATCGGAAAGTTGAAATCATCACGTTTGTCATAAAGTATCAATTTGTGTCAATATCGAGTTAAACATCAAGACACAAATCAGATCCTTTCATTTGCGTTAATTCATTGAAATGTCAGTCACAAATGATATTATTACGTATTTTAAAAGAGTAAATCGATTCGGTTGCATGTAATTTAACTCTATGAAGACTGGTCTACACTCGAAAAAGTGAATTGATTCAGTCGACGACTACAATCTGAACCGAACATTATATCTATAGACTATTTTGTTTGCATTTTAAACGTATCCATCGTTACATGTTATATAGTTTTTACCACTGCATAATAGGATATGCAACTTTTGAAGACCTTGGCTATTAAATAGCAGTTAAGTATCTTTTTTTAATTTTCAAATAATTTTATTTACTATAATTTCTACATTTGATTCCTCAAGTCTCGGTACCTTCTTTCGTTACCATTGACATTAATATAGTGCGTATCATGGCTGTCTTTGTTATATCATAAATGACTAGTTGACTTTTTCTTAATTCATATCTTCAGTCGAAATATTTTGTTTATGAATAGTTTTATTCACCCAAAAGAAACACCTTGTGAAATAATGAAATGAATCAATAACTATAATTTTGAACATAAAAGGAATGCAGGCTACAAGTTATTCCTGATTATATCTGGTAAACGTCGAACTGTGTATTTTGTAAATTATTTTGAACTAAATCAATTAGCAGTTTTTTAATTAGATTTGCCATTTAAAAACGCAGGGTTTAACTACAGGTTGTTGTAAATTTTACCTGATAATGTGTGTATAATAATAAATTGTAATGGCGTACTTGATAACGTTGATGTATAATTTAGCACATGAATTATTTTATGTTTAAAAACATTATACTGTTTCTGCTGATTCTGCTGATAAACACATTAAGCCTATTTAAATCCTCCAGATTGTATTCCTCGAGTATGATAAAATACACTATTGCAATGAAATACATAAAAAATGCACAACGTTTCATCTATTTCAACCTGCAATTTGTGTTTGTAATAACATACTTGAATAGATTTTAAATCTTAAGATATATTATGATTTCATTTACATGAATAGGACTTTAATGAATGTGTATCTGATTTGTTTATATTTATATATGAGTTCGAATCCCGGCGAGAGAAGAACAAACATTTGCTTCTGCAAATTAACAGATCTAACATTGGAAAGTTGAAATCATCACGTTTGTCATAAAGTATTGATTTGTGTCAATATCGAGTTAAACATCAAGACACGAATCTGATCATTTCATTTGCGTTAACTTGAGTCCATTCACTGAAATGTCAGTCGTAAATGATATTATTACGTATTTTAAAAGAGTCCATCGATTCGGTTACATTTAATTTCACTCTATGAAACATTGTCTACACTTGGAAAAGTGAATTGATTCAGTCCGAACCGAACATTATATCTATGGACTATTTTGTTTGCATTTTAAACGTATCCATCGTTACATGTTATATAGTTTTTTAGAATTGGTTCTGTCGACGACTACAATCTGAACCGAACATTATATCTATAGACTATTTTGTTTGCATTTTAAACGTATCCATCGTTACATGTTATATAGTTTTTACCACTGCATAATAGGATATGCAACTTTTGAAAACCTTGGCTATTAAATAGCAGTTAAGTATTTTTTTTAATTTCTAAATAGTTTTATTTACTATAATTTCTACATTCGGTATTCCTCCAGTATGATAACTTACACTATTGCAATGAAATACATAAAAGGTCACAAATCAAATGCACAACGTTTCATCTATTTTAACCTGCAATTTGTGTTTGTAAAACAAAGCACACTTGAATAGATTTTAAATCTTAAGATATATCATGATTTCATTTACATGAATAGGACTTAAATGAATTTGTATCTGATATGTTAATATGTATATAAATATGAATCCCGGCGAGGGAAGAACAAAAAATTTGCTTCCGCAAATTAACAGATCTAACATTGTTGGGCTGTTATTTAGACGAATTATATATGCAGAATGTGTTTTCAGCCTTGTATCACCATCACTGGTAATCCGATGGATAAAATCTGTCGTAGAGTTGTCACTGGTTCAGACGTACTTATAATATAATTATTTCTGTGACTGTATCCTACATAAATGTGTACGATCCTTTACGATAGATAATTCAGCTGATCTGTAATATTCCATCTTCATGCCTTATCTATCATGTACTGTGTTACGACGCTAGATAAAATCTGACGAGGAAAGGTAACTCCCGGCCACCGAAAGCTTAACTTTATATCGAGCCTAAGTGGTCGAGTGGCCTAGTGCGCCGGCCAGTGCAAGGCGATTTGGTGCCACGATATCTCAGCAGCATGAATTCGAATCCCAGCCAGTGAAGAACAAAAAATTTGCTTCCACATATTTACAGATTTAACATTGTTTGGCTGTTATTTAGACGAATATATATATATATAGATTCTACCACTGCATCGAGTGTGATACGATATTTATCCACTCGAGACAATTAAATGTTCAAATTTAAAACGCAAGGCTCGCCGTTAAAATTTAACTGTCGAGAGTGGATAAATATCGTATTACACGAGATTTGGTGGTGGAATCTGTTTCTCTAATGATTTTCAAACAATATGCAGGCAAACTTATTCTGCAAAAAGATGTGTTCTTTCTATGTGACGTCATCAGGCATGGTCGCCTTTTTTCATGCCATCACAATAGGAAATTCAGAGGAAAGCAAGAGAATTCAACGTCATAATCGGATTTTAACCAATGAAGAACTGAGATCAAACGAACCACACGTTGATTACATTTTTTTATTCAATGGATGCAGAAAGTGATAAATTGACGAAGAATTAGAGAAATATAATTATAGACCTGGAAGTAGATATACAGCCTTAAAGACTTTTATTTGTTCTGTTGAAATATACAATTATAGAATTGAAAGGAGGTGACCAGGTTCAAACAATTAAGATAAACCATATTTCTCTAAAAGAGGGACGAAAGATACCAGAGGGACAGTCAGTTAAATGTTGACTTAAGAAATCAGAACATAATGTATTACAGTATTTCTGGTCCAACTGACTATTGTTTGAGATACTGTTTGTTCTTAACGCCAACATATCACTTCTGGCTTAACCACGGCTGTCGGGTTTTGATGATGGGGAAAACCGCAGCATTCAGAACCCAGTCAATTAAGACAGGCGTCAGACTCGTCTTACCGAAGCTGGTTTTGAGCTTACATCAACAATGTTGATAGGCTAGTGATAACTGTAGATGAACTATCTCAATTAGCCTTCCAACTGTTGACCTTTAAAGCAATCATTAGAATAATAATTTGTTTCTTTCAGTCTATAAACAAAACATCAATGTTATGAGTCTACATTTAATATTATAATAATGCCTTCTTTACAACTTCCACCGGAAGTAAATAACTTCAAACTGAGATTGCAATTATAGTAGTATTTCACCTCGGGTTTCTCGTATGGTTCGTTTTGCTAAATCTTTATTGTTCTATATAATATGATGTTAGTGATGTTTGTTTATTTGTTCGTTTTCATTGTTTACCATGCAGTGTTGTCATTGTTTATTGAACTACTGTTAAATGATTATACTTGGTAACGTTTCCTTATTTTTAAAGCATTGATCTTACATGTAGCTTGGATTCAAAGGTGCTAACCGTGTAGCCAGAACTGCTTACCCTCCTGAAACATCTAAAGTGTCACTCTCGACAAGTTATAAACAAGCTAGCCAATTAATTCGTTTCATATATTAACTCATTCATAAATGAGAATTATGGTATACATTTACTCATAAACGTGTATTTCATATCATGTGTATAGGTACGTTTCAAAGTTTGATGACAATTTATGGTGGCAACTTCAAAATAGTTATTTGGATATTTCGAATCCGTTAAAATAACTTCAGACTATGCTCTTTGTTATTTGTAAGAAATGTTTGTGACCCTCATATGTATCGTGTTTTTCTCTCACTTTTATATTTGGCAACGGCTAATATAACAGTAATATCAACCGTAAATCCATTTCCATTAAAACATTTTTTGAGCAGATATGATTTAATTAGACTAGAGTTTATTACAGATATAAACAAATAAAAATGAAAAACACCTGGACTGGGGAATAAAAAAAAACTTGTGTAAAGTATGGTGTTGGACTTAAATCTTTTTAGAATCTCGTACACATTTTACTTACAATATACTATTTCCCATAGTGTGATATTTAAACATACTCCTTTTATTATTATGATAATGTTATACTTCTTTTTGTTTATCTAAATTATAAATACCAAGTCAATAATCCAGGTCAATAACCAATATCATCAGTAAAACCGTACACTAGCCAATAATACAGCAGTCAATAAAATGAAGTCTTATATGTAAAATATTCATAATATATTCAAATTAAAATTTAAGTTTTATGTTTCACAGTTCTACCTTTAAATACACGACATACGTATATAACCATTATTTGATTTAAATGTAGAACGTTGTTGTCATTGATTTTTTACCTTACCTGTGTATTATTCATTGAGGACGATACGCGACAAAATGGCACAGGCAGCCTCTAAAACATGTGAAATTTGTGTCAGTGCCTATGGATCCCAATACTGCTTAGAGTGTGAACAATACTTTTGTGAAAATTGTAAAACCTTTCATAAAAGACAGAAAGTAACAAAGAATCACCAGTTTCAGTCTTCCTCGGACGTTATACCGGAAGGTAAATCGAAATGTAAGGAACACAACGAAGACATCAGTTTTGTATGCAAAACATGTAATTTAGTAGTGTGCAGTAGTTGTGTGACTGGCAGTCACACAGGGCATGCCTTTTCAAAGCTTATGGACAACATAACACAGATGAAGGAGAAGAATACAAAAGACCTGCGTAGTAAGGTACATGAGGCAACTCAAAACATTAAAACGATAGAGGAAGGTTTAAAGGCATTTGATGTGAAGGTTGAAGGAGTAGTCAAAGCTATTACAGAAGAAGGTACAAAGATAAAGGCTATGGTTGATACATGTGTCGCACAGATGATTGCATCGGTCAAGGATCAATCCAGGAAGGAAAAGGACAAATTGACAAAAATCATAGCAGATACTAAAATAGATTTGAAGGCGGGAGGCGACTTAGAAAAGAAGAAATGTGAACTCGACAAGACACGAAACGATGGCAAATTGTTACAGTCGTTACAGAAGCTTACAGATGACATTACAAAGCTGACGATAGAGCCTATACCCGAATTTCCGAACATACAGTATACTGCTAAGCCTGTAACAGATAACGACATCAAACAACTGTTTGGCATCTTCAAAATAAGGTAAATCCACTGAAATACCTGAGAAGAGTATTGTTTTGTAGACTACATTCTGTAGTCGTAATACATACTTTAATATATCTATATTATTTGAAAGTGACATGTATTTTTGCATAATCAAAATTCTGTTTTTGAATATCAATGTATTTCTGAATTGAATCCCATGAAAGACGCAGGGGAGACAATGCATTCAATAAAACGAGGTGGTCATTAATAATGTATTGTTTATAATGGAATAACAATGGACTCTAGTAAATAGACATGTGGTCTATGACAATGCACATTTTTAATTGTATTCACAATGCACTCGGCTCTACGTAAACTTATGAAGTTATTCAGGAATACTTGTTTTCAAACTGGCACAGAATATCTGTTTCCCTCATTTTTAAAATGTTTTGTTTTGATATTATGCATTTAAGGAGTCATATGTAAATACTTCATTTTTATTTTGACAGAGGAGTACGTACACAACATATCGGAAACAGAGAGAAAGAATTACCTAAACCAAAAAGGTAATGCAATATGTTTGTATATTTTACAGTGTTAATTTTACGCTTAAAACAATGTAAACTTTTCGTCAAATCTTTAAGTGAATCACACATTATCTTCGTGTATACCTGAATGTCTTTTAAGGAAATGAAGCCCTCTTTCCATGGTTCTGGATAAATTTGTTTCCTATATTGTGTAAACCAGTGCACCGTTTTACTGTTGACACATTTACTAGTTACATGTATGCACTTATCTTCATTACATTGTTCCTAAGTAGCAGTTTTTTTAAAGCCGTATTTGCTTAATTTTCTTGATATATATTTCACCAACTCACATTTTTTTTTTTAATATTTTGTTTTGCTTCGATTTACATCTTCTACAAAGTCATTTGTAATGCGTTGCATACGTTAGCAAGCACTAACTCGAGTAGGATTGCGTTTAAGTAATTAATACTGATAATGATGTGCAAACGTACAGCGTAATTTATTTTCGTAAATATACTGCTCGTTAAAATGTTTCTGCTTGTCTAGTTAAAGATTTAGAACCTATTGATACTTTAAATTTACGATATAACCATGATATTGAATGTAAAAGGCATTCATCATAGTTATCCGCACTAGTAAGGCAAAATATGCATAGTATAAGCTAAGGACACCATACTGTTTTCAAACGACATTATCAAGTCGTGTTGCGCAGTCTTCTTTTAATTGTGTATATGTAGTTTTATGTTAACTTGTGTTTGTCCTTTCGTCAATTTTCAGTATTTGCCATAGTGTTTCCCATATGTCTTCGACGTATGAGTTTGAATGTCCTCTTTGATATTTTCCACCTCTTTTTAAAATATTCTCGATTCACAAGAATATTTAAGATCGACTGTTTGCTTAAGGGTACAACGACTTCAGCAGTAACATTCACAATCGACTGTTGATAAAGCGGTCAACGACTTCAGCAGCCGCATTCAAAATCGACTGTTGATGAAGGGGTGAATGACTTTAGCAATCACATTCACCATCGACTGTTAGAAAGGGTTCAACGACTTTAGCATTCATATTCACAATCGACTGTTGATAAAGTGGTCAACGACTTCAGTAGTCACATTCACAATCGACTGTTGATAAAGGGGTCAACGACTTCAGCAGTCACATTCACAATCGACTGTTGATAAAGGGTTCAACGACTTTAGCAGTCACATTCACAATCGACTGTTCATAAAGGGGTCAACAAATTCAGAAGTCACATTCACAATCGACTGTTGATGAAGGGGTCAACGACTTCAGCAGTCACATTCACAATCGACTGTTGATAAAGGGTTCAACGACTTTAGCAGTCACATTCACAATCGACTGTTCATAAAGGGGTCAACGAATTCAGAAGTCACATTCACAATCGACTGTTGATGAAGGGGTCAACGACTATAGCAGTCACATTCACAATCGACTGTTGATTAAGGGTTCAACGACTTTAGCAGTCACATTCACAATCGACTGTTAATAATGGGTTCAACGACTTTAGCAGTAACATTCACGAATATCGAAGGAAGTTAGTAAAATTGTTTCGTTTGTATATTATCATTGAATGAACTTAACAGAACACTGCCAGTTATTTTTATAATGTTTGGAATAATCGTATATAACACAATTCTATAATAATATTCTTGTAATGGTTAGAAAATACATCAAATAGCACCATCACTAACGTAATCCCAATTTCATATTGTATTTTTAGAAATTTACCTGTGACGTCGCTTGTTGTGGCGTTGATACATTCGTGTGATTCAGAGTTCATTATTCTATTGTGCTGTATTTGTGATCTGTCGTAAATTAATTTTAGGTGTTCGTTGTTATTCTGTGGTTTACATGTTGGGATGGGCTATGGTATAGTTTGTTTATGTATTTCTCTGTCCTGAATTTCTTGCATTTATTGATACTTTATTCCTGTCACGTAATTTTGTCATTTTAGCGGTATTTTTAACATTGCTATATAAGCGGGAGGTTTGGCTAGCCATAAAACCAGGTTCAACCCACCATTTTTTCTTAAAATGGCTTGTACCATTTCAGGAATATGGCAATTGTTATCACATGGTCCGTTGTTATGTATGCTGGCGTTTGTTTTTGTAACAGTTCAGTGTTTCTGTTGTTCCGTTTTGTTTCCTCTTATGGTTGATGTGTTTTCCTCAGTTTTGGTTTGTGACCCGGATTTGTTTCAGTTAAATTGATTTATGACTATTGAACAGCGATATACTACTATTGCCTTTATATATAGCTTCTTCAATTAAACTGTACTGCAAATTGTTAAATCTAAAGACCTCATCAGTTCATGCGGTTTTTTGCTGTAAGAAAGACGGGGGAAAGGAGGGAAAAGTATATGCAAAGCAGAAATAGTTCTATAAGGATTTTACGATATAGATAAGAATGTCATTAATTCATTGCTACCTTGTGTTTATATCGTCACATTAAAAAGAGTTTAATTTTATTTTAATTAATTGTGTTGTTTATTACAGTGATTACGAAAAGGATACGAAACGAAAAGAGGAAGGACAATACCTGTACAGATGTATCGGGTGTGGGTAAGTTCCTTAATATTGTTTTTATGGACATGACGTAATATGTATATTTATATTATATTAGGAACATACTCTACAAACCAGAAAAAATCTGAAATTGCCTATATCTTTACTCGACTGTACTGATTTTTACTCGACCAGTCTGACTTGGTGTGAAACTTACTTGATATTACTCGAGCGAAATCTGAACCATACTTAACAGTCTGAACTTATACTCTACCAGTACTGAACCATTTTATATGTGTCTGAACTATTCTCGATCAAGTCTGAACCATGCTCGACCTGGTCTGAACCATACTCGACCTAGTCTGAACCCTACTCGACCAAGTCTTAACCAACCTATTTCTGTGTCTATCTATTGTATTTCATCAATTTAGGAACTTTTTTAACAACAGCTATTCCCCTTGGTTAGAAATTTAAACAACAATTTGAAATCCACAATGTATTTAATATAGCATTGAAACTAAAATTTCACAATAAACATAATATAATCATCAACACCATATTCATCAACACTTATACATATATATATTTGTGGTCTAGAGCGCTGGACACAGCGCAGGCGGTGTTGTCACGATATCCCAATTGCATGATTTTGAATCCCGGCGAGGGAAGAACAAAAATTTGCTTCCGGAAATTTGCAGATTTAACATTGTTGTGCTGATATTTAGAGCAATTATGAATAAAATATGTGTTTACAGCCGTGCATCACCTTCACTGGTGATCCTGTAGATGGATCTGTCGTAGAGTTGTCACTTGTTTAGATGTACTTATCAAATAATTATTTCTGTGACTACATCTTACGATCCTTTACGACAGATAATTTAGCTAATCTGCAATCAATTCCATCTGCACGCCTAATATATCATGTACTGTGTTACAACTCTAGCTTCTACTGACGAGGAAAGGTTACACTAGGCCACCGAAAGCTGAATGTTTAGTTCAGTCTAGGTGGTCTACAGCGCTGGACACAGTGCAGGTGGTGTTGTCACGATATCCCAATAACATGAGTTCGAATCCCGGCGAGGGAAGAACAAAAAATTGCTTCCGGAAATTTGCAGATTTAACATTATTGTGCTGGTATTTAGAGTAAATATGTATATATATATATATATATATATATATACAATGAATATAACATTTGAAATAAAAATAAAACAAGATGACCAAAGAAAGTTATTTCTGGTAGGATTAAAAAAATATCATGTGTTATATACCTACAAAGGTATACTTTTTGTTGAAGACCGTACTGTGACCTATAATGGTTTACTTTTATAAATTTTGACTTGGATGGAGAGTTGTCTCATTGGCACTCATACCACATCTTCTTATATCTATATAAAGAGTTATTTTCTTCAGAACTATAGGTCATTCTTTTGAAGAATCAACCTGGACGATACCAAGTTTCAATGAAATTTGCTTCAAGGCATAACATATATAAGGTCATTATTTTTTTCTGGTTAAAAAGCAAACTTTAATTTACTTGAACATTAAAATCGTTTGATAGCTATCGTGTGGTGTTGCCAATTGAGGGTTTACTTTTTAATACCATATTTCGTAGGTTTAAGGCAGAAACAATCCTTTATTCCGTTTATTAGACTGACATACCTAAAATCGTCGTTGACGCACATTTTAACTTCCAAAACAAATAATGTGAAGTTTTGTTTATTTATCTATACAATAAAGGGGCATTATGTGAGATGAATTTAATATTGCAAACATTTCCATAACACTTTAAATCAAGCCATATTTAACACATTATGTGTAGGATTTTAAAAATCTTATATTTTCACATTGTATTGGAAATCATACTTTGACCTATGGATATACGTTTTTCGTGTTACATGTACATGTATCACGATTTCGTGCTCTCTTCATGCCAGTTGTTTTCTACATTTGTATATGCCTTTTACTCCATCTAATCAAATGATCCAACATTCTTATTTTCTGTAGAATAACAGCCATGTACTTTAAAATGGGGAGGGGATATAATATGTATTCCTAGTTTTATATAAAAACAAGTTGTATTGCCAAACAAAAGAGAGAAAACAATTACTCTGAATTGTTCGTTTACAACATTGTTGAAAAAATCTGCTTTTCCGCGATAAAAATGTCATGAAAATAGACAAAGAAAAGCATCTTTCTTTTATAAATAAAGTTGATACAATAATTTACTTACGAAGTGACCTTTGTATTTTTCATACACCGTAACAATTCAGTTGTGTCTTGCTTCATGCCGTTACAGTTATATTTCTATTCAAACTGGACAATGATTTCTAACGTTTATATATCTAGTTTAATTAGTGAGTTTCATTACACATTATAAATGAGCCGTAGGGTATATTAAAACTTGACCACATCAGAAAAGAATATCCCACTTTTGTGTTGTCGGTAAAATAGGATGTAAATAATGCAAAACTTTGCAGAAAATAATATTTATAGACGGTATATAAGTCAGATAATGCATATTATAAGGTTTTTCTTGTCGTATAACACACCTCGGGGTGTCAAGATTGCCCAAAGAAAGACCTACGGTCGGTCTTTCATTTGACTAATCCTGACACCCCTCGGTGTGTTATACTTCAAGAAAAACCTTAAAATATGCATGATCTATAACATAAATTAAGTTTTCGGTTAAATAAATTTGTATATACATAATGTCATGTTCACATTGCACAATGCACATCAAAAATACTAGAACTTTCAACCATTATTCAAATACATATCTTAAATTGTATTCAAAATTATTTGAATGTTTCAGATATATTTTATGATTACTAGAAAATTTTCAACACTAACTTAAGCCTGGTATAAATTTATGGTGTCAGTCGAGTTTAGTTAATAACGCAGTGGACTTTTTTTTTATTGTATATAATGTAACTTAATAAATTAAAAAAATGACACCCATGTTTTGTAAAATGAAGAATTTAATATTATAGAAGTTCCAAAGCAATCCCTGATAGCCTTTTAAAAAATGAATTGTGTTCCAAAATTGCAGTAACAATTTAGGTTGATTAATTAAGTTTTGTCAAAATTAAAGACATGGCATAAAAGAAGATCTTTAATAAGGTTAAATTAACTCAGTACATGTGTATTTTACAGGTAAAAAGAAAACCCTATTTTCTTAAACTCTTGTGAATTAACCAGTGAATTCAAAAGCCCTTGTGATTTAAGTTTTACAGGATGTTGTTTAATTTTCAATGGATGTTATTTAAAATGTATTCCTCTCTCACAACGTGTGATCTTTTTAATGAGCGTGCCCCAAGCAAGAGGTATTACTTTATAGTTTATACCTTTTTAGAAGAACATTTTTAATCAATTTATATATATATATATATATCCCAATATTCGCGTGTGCCATCAGTGATATGAATGGACGTATATTAGTTACTTGGATACCGAACTTTCCAAAATAACTAAGGTTATAAAAATAATATACTCATATATTGGTAAAACATTGCAGTTTTGTTTTGTTGATAATTCCAGAACAACATTGAACAACTTAACCACAATCCTCAATAATGAACGGTAAATCGTACATACATTAATCATATTTTAACAGTGAACTGTATGTTCTACGATACGACATTTGCCCTTTTTCGATGGTTATGTTTCAGATTATTTAAAACACTAAACCGCCTCATAATTGATAACAAAATGTTCAATAGAAGCATAATGCATAGCTCTCAATGCAGCGTATACTTATCAATTTAGACATTTTACGTTTGTATTAAATTTTAGATACTCATATTTGCTGAGTCAATCATCAACTAAGAGACATTCATTGTCGTAATACACGTCTGATGCAGAAAATGTAATGCCGTTAATGTTATCATACTAATGTTATCTTTGTCCATAACGATTTTGGAGTGGTTAACTCACAATATAATTCAACAATAGGTGGTAAAATGACGTAAATCAACCACATTTTATTTGAACCCATTTGTTTTGCTTTGGAAATGCTATCTGAGTAAACGACAACACATCTATCAGTATATTTGTTTGGGAATCTGACACCATTGATCTGTTTCGTCTTTCAGAAAGGAAGAGAGATCTGATTAGTAAGTATTATCTACGTTTTTTGTAAGTGACAAATAGTCAAAACAGTCATTTACTACAGACATGATTTTGAAATATATCTAAACACTAGGCTCGTTCGGATAATAGACAACCCGTAACTATAGGCTAAATATTTAACAATGACCATTAAATACATACATCTTTGATACAAAACCTTTATGATAAAGGTATATATTACCATGATTCAGATTTGTTTATGTGCTCCGGTCATTCAATTCAATGTTGAGGTGTTTGACTAGATTTTTTTAGATTCCATTTCCTCCATTATCTTATTTCAACCAGGCATTTAATAACTAAATCATGACTTTCATGATAGAGGGTTACTGATAACACAGAAGACATTGATCCAAATACTAATGTTAGTGGCATCCCTAACAGATGTTAAATGGCTTTTCGGACGCGATCATAGTGGCATCCCTGAAATCGCTTTGTGGACCCGATCATAGCTTGGTTGACATATTTGAAATATTTGTATTTCATATAACTATGAATATGCTTCGCTTGTCATAACAACAATCTTTCCTATTTTACCACAAAAGACTTGCATCCCTGAAATGGCTTTGCGGACCCGATCATAGTTTGGTTGACATATTTGACATATTTGTGTTCCATATAACTATGAATATGTTTCGCTTGTCATAACAACAATCTTTCCTATTTTACCACAAAAGACTTACAATGGAAATTTTCATGACGAACACGACGGATGCTAGGTCTTCTTTGTATAGTTTTGTTATTGTTGTTTGTCCTTTTATCGTTTATTTTGTTGACATGATGTTGTTTGTTTTCGTTGGATTTTCCAGTGCCCCCTTGTATCGTGTCTAAAATGTATTTTAAAACAATGAAGAATTGACATCTAGTATACTGGTAATGAACAAGAAAATTAGGATCCCATCTGAATAAGTCGATATGAACCGCATGTAACACGTATTCCAATTTAACTGTCAGACCGATGTTGTTTTTCATTATGTCGTCAACCTGTCTGCAATACATTAAGAAATACTTTATATGAAATTTTAAACAAAACGCATTGTTGCCTTGTTTGGAACATTATCAATATTCAGAATTGTCATGTGTCGTCTTAACATTTGCAATACTACATACATATATATCAAATGTTTCCTCTTAACCAGTATAAATATTTGAACTCTACAAAATAGGAACAATCCAGGGAAATAATTACACTAGTGAAGTCCAAATACGTTAAATGAAAATGATAAAAAACACCTTGCAAAGTTCTTTGATTCCACAATCGGAAATATCGACAATGTTTTGTAATTCAATAACCCACATTTCCGCGAGTGCTTACACCTCATATACCGAAAGTAGAAGATCTGCTTTATATCTTGTTAATTTTTTTTCAAAATTGACACAATCTAGAATCTATGACAAACGATTTCAACTTTCAATTTCTCAGCACTAACATACTGATTCGACATTACAGAAGTTCACAGTTACAATCACGGATTGGTTGATCTGTTCGGTGGTTCTCAACTAACTAACGACATATTTGGGTTGTCTTAGAGCTTTGTATATAAGAACAGTCATCTGATCTATAAATTTACCGATTGTGTCGTATTCCCGATAGTGACGTTTTGACTAAGTATGGACTGGTGAGTGATGCATGCATATCAGGTATCATTTGTCCCATTGACGCACGCCGACTAGCTCCTGTTGGAGATCATGCATATCAGGTATCATTTGTCCCATTGACGCACGCCGACTAGCTCCTGTTGGAGATCATGCATATCAGGTATCATTTGTCCCATTGGCGCACGCCGACTAGCTCCTGTTGGAGATCATGCATATCAGGTATCATTTGTCCCATTGACGCACGCCGACTAGCTCCTGTTAGAGATCATGCGAATCCCCGAGTTTTGTTTTTTTTTTTGCTTGGTTTCCCTCTTCTTATTGAATTAATGAAATTTGAGCATCAGTTAAATATGTTTCAATCTAGATATTGTTCTCTCTGAGTGAATTTGAAAGAGGAAGTTACTAAAATGAAATTTCCTCTGTTTTATCAATATTCAATTTGCTAGATCTAAGTATCAAGCAAAGTCTAACAACTATTAAACAAATGTAATTATCTAGTTATTGAAGTACTCCATTGTGTAAGCTTCAACAAACATATCAAATCAAATGTAACGACGACTTTAAATGGCTTAATTTCCCTAAAGTCAGTTTACAACTATAAAAATCGAGCATACCTTGTAGTGTTCCTTTACACATACTATCCTTTCTGAGGTCTGTGTTTATATGATTAATTTAACTGGACAGACATCTGCACTTCTTTTTAAATGTACAGCCGAAATCATTCAATCAATTAACTACAATATGTTTACTATATTTTATAAATTGTATACATTGATGTTTTTGAGATTATGATGTTTGTATCGTGAGTAGCTTAACATATTTTTCCAGATATTAAACTCGAAAGCAGGTGTTATTTATTTATTGGGCTTCATAAATCATATGTAAACAAATGTGATATTAATTGTTAGATGTCTTTAGGTGTAATACCACCATTGACTTTCCCTATTAGTCTTTGTTAAGTATGCACTTTTCAAAAAATTGTGCAGAATTTATTGTTGTTTTCAAATAAAGAAATATTGGGCATGAGTAAAGTTTTATCTTGTCCAGTACTACATAACATTTCATTGCATATAAGATAATAACCATCACTGTAAGTTAACCAATCAAATGTCAACCCTTTTCTTTCCTGTTTACAAGCTTAAGTAACCATGTTACTTAAAGTTTCCAAAATATTTTATAGAAACACTAAATAAAAAAAGATGGTGCTTTAAAACACCCAAGATATATGTTGATGACTCGGAATTTGTTTACTGCAATGAAATGTAAGATTAATTTCCTACAACTGTCAAAGTCAAGGGAATATTTTTTTCGACCCTTTTTCGTATGCACGGGATGTGACGTACTATGATTTGGTGGTATTGCACCTTAATTCCCCCCAAAGTTTGATTATAGAATAATGAAAATAAACAATATGTTATTGTCTTCCTTAACAATAATCTGAATATACTTATTTCTCTTTATTAGCAATCACGTATACGAAAATGCAGTTTCAACTTTAGAGCCATAAACACTTTAAAACAATATATTGATCATATTTTTTTTAAAATTGATGAAGTGGTGTTTTTTTATATATATATATATATTTATTCAAACTTGTATTTTTATTTTTTTTTTCAGTGCAATGTAAGTGTCTTGTACCAAACAGATAAGTATACAGTAAATTGTGTATGTAATGTTTTTATTCAAATTAGGAAAATATAAAATTTTCAGTAGATAAAGACGCAATTCCATAGAAGTAAAAATACAACCTATTCGTATATGAGAATCATAGAGATATTGTCATTTTTAATATAAAACATACGCCATAAGTAACAATCCTTTCGATTCAGTTAATGTAAAATGTCAGCAGAACGAATGTCTCATATCATATGCGTAAAAAAAACACCTTTAAAAGGAGAAGGTAATATTGAGATCGTATTGTTATTAAAACTTTTTTTTTCATACTTTTAAGATTATTTCGAAACGTTTCTATCAAATGTCTAATCAAATACAGGTAAACATTTAGATACATGTATTCACGTAAATAATGAATAGATTTTTGGAACTAGTTTTTAAAATATATCCTAAATTATAACTTGAAAATTTTCTGATCAACCTTTTCTTATGCTAAACACATACAGCTTATGCACTTTTGTCAGATTGAATTAATTGATATCATTGTTTTTAATTTTTATTTCCATAAGATAGAAGATCTGTATTTGAAATAACCACACTTATTCGGAAAGCGTTTTGTGTTCGTGCTGGTCAACAAAGCAACCAACAACATTGTATTGGTACGACGTAAACACTACACCAACGTTTTTGAAGAATGAAACTATTGTTTTGGTCTAGATTCAATACCTTAGTGTACATACATATTCAATCCGTAGACAATCATACCGTTACCGCATCTCAACTTTAGCCCTCTTTTGAAAATTTGAATGCCTTACTGTGAGTTCGCCCTCACATATATAAATAACCATTCAAATGATGATAAATAGAAGAGAACATCCTTACTATAGTTATAGTTAATGTAGTTATGTCGTATATGATGCTCATAAATATACAAACAATCCATGTAAACGTATGGTTTTCCTAAATAAAAATAATCTTAAAGGTTATCATTTACTTTTGGAATGAATAACATTAATTTTGTTGCAAACATTTAATACGTAACTAAACATCCTCTTCATTTGATCTCTAGTGGATTGTTGTCTGTTTTGGTAATCATACCACACCTTGTTATTTATATAGGTATTGTTATCCATAACACGTATGGTCCTATATCTTATCGAAATCTATAGTTAAGCACAGTATATGATCATGCTTTTGTTTCATCACTAGTGGATGGTTGTCTCTTTGGTAATCATACCACACCTTGTTATTTATATAGGTATTGTTATCCATAACACGTATGGTCATATATCTTATTGAAATCTATAGTTAAGTACAGTATATGATCATGCTTTTCGCAGACAGTTAATGCCATTTTTACACTTAACAGTCGATTTGTATTTTGTAAACAAAACGCGTGCCTGCTTTACCAAATTATAATACAGGTGTCCTGGTGTTTGTACAATAACTTGTTTTATGCGACTGTGGTGGATATTTCGTTTCTTAAAGTATCACCAGTACAAAAGCCAGCACTTTTGTTTTGAAATGAAATATTATTGATATAGTCATTTTATAAATTAACTGTTTACAAAGTGTATTCTAGCTCTAAAAATTTTACATCAAGGCATAAATGACCTTGACCGTATACAGTTGGGTGCAGACCAAGCATTACATGTAGACGCAAGGAAAAAGTTAACGCGGCGTTTACTCAAAAAATGTAGTAGACATAAAAAGCAAACGGGTGTTTACTTTCGCGTTTACCTCAGCGTTAAAAATGCTAATAACTTTTTTTATTTATAATAGGATTTATCTCAAATTTGAATATAATAAGATTTCATCATTTAATTTTTAAATACAAGAAACAAAAAACGAAAAATATTTGAAAAACTTTCGAAAACGTGACCTGAGAAACGTTAAAAATGACAGGACAAAATGTAAATGCTGATAGCTTTTTTATTTCTCAAATGATTCATCTCAAATTTGAAATATAATAAACCTGATAATTGAGTACTTTTTATACTTTGTACTTGTTTGGCTTTATAACTATTTTGATCTGAGCGTCACTGATGAGTCTTATGTAGACGAAACGCGTCAGTCGTATTAAAATATATAATCCTGGTACCTTTGATAACTATTTATACCTCCGAATGGATAATAGACACAAAAGTGATGAAATTTAAGTTTAAAATTGCAAAACTTGTTGTCACATTAGAACAGCGATAACAATGAAATGTGGCACTAATTAATATTCTTGTACTGGCCTGATAATTGAGTACTTTTTTGTACCTCAGGATGGATTGTTAGACAAAAAAGTGAAAAAGTAAATTTTATAATTGCAAAATTTTTTGTTGCATAAAAAAAAGTGCTAATACTTTCCATTTTGTTAGAATATTAAAAAAAATATTATACAACGGCATTAACATTCTGTTCTGTTTGTCCCTTATGACGAATAGTTTTGTACAAATTGAGAGCTCTATAAGTCTACATTTACTAATATTTGTGTTGATAACAATAAAAAGTGATAATATTTCCTTTTTTTTTTTATTAATATTCTATTACTGGCCTGAGAGTTCAGTACTTCATATACCTCAGAATTGATTGTTAGACATAAAAGTGAAAAAATCCCAGTTTAAAATTGAAAAATTTGTTGTCGCATCAAAAAAAAAAGGTGCCAATATTTTCCATTTTGTTAGAATATTATATACCATTAAAATTCTGTGTCGTTTTGTCCCTAAGAATGAATAGTTTTACACAAATTGAGAGCTCTATGAGTCTATGGTGACTAACATTTATGTCGATAACAATAAAAGGTGACAATATTTCTTTTTGAATTAATATTCTAGTACTGGCCTGATAATTGAGTACTTTTTATACCTCAGGATGGATTGTTAGACATAAAAGTGAAAAAAATTAAGTTTATAATTGCAAAATTTGTTGTCGCATAAAAAAAAAGTGCTTATATTTTCCATTTTGTTAGAATATTATACAACGGCATTATAATTCTGTTCTTTTTGTCCCTTAGAATGAATAGTTTTACACAAATTAAGAGCTCTCTATGTATACGGTTACTAATATTTATGTTGATAACAATAAAAAGTGACAATATTTCTTGTTTTTATTAATATTCTAGTACTGGCCTGATAATTGAGTACTTTTTATACCTCAGAATGCATTGTTAGACATAAATGTGAAGAAATTTAAGTTTATACTTGCATAATTTGTTGTTGCAAAAAAAAAAACCAACGGCAATACATTTCTGTTCTTTTTGTCCCTAAGGATGGATATTTTTACACAATGACATATAGGTTTGCACAAATTGAGAGCTCTATAAGTCTACGGTTACTAATATTTATGTCAATAACAATAAAAAGTGACAACATTTCTTATTTTTATTAATATTCTTGTAGTGGTCTCATATTTGAGTAGTGTTTTTTTTTTTACATCAGAATGGATTGTTAGACATAAAAGTGAAGAAATTGCATCAATATAAGGTGTCAGTATTATAACCTTGGTAAAAATATTATGTTACAGCATTAACATTCTGTTCTTTTGGTACATAATGAGGGGCATTTTTACACACATTGAAAGCTCTTCAAGTCTACTGCCAATTAAATGTATAACGATATAAATAAACAAAAAATCTTTTTATATAATTGTAAAAGGGAAGGAATCATTTCAACGATTTTTGTTTATAAAAACAATTCCTTATGTCTGCAGGGATGAACAGGTTTAATAAAATCGACATGTACATCATATATATAAATGTTGATCAACTAAATCATGCTTAAATTCAGTAAACCATGAACTACGGCGAATATTTTGAAATAAGTGTATTGTCTGAAAACAAAGTTTCATAGATCATTTATGTCGTCTGTTTTATTTCAAGTCTTGAAACATTGCCTAGTTAAATCTACCGTAATGAATATTATTGTTAACACATAAAACTTTCTTTTTTTTTTAAAGTTTTGCAGAATTTACTTATCCAATAATTTCTGAAAATATTTTTTAACGATATTTTATTTATCTATCATTTACAAAATATGGATATTCCAATAAGCCAGAAAAACGTATATATATAATTTCCACACATAGGTAACGGGAATAGTAAACGCGTGTTTCCTAAGTGCACATACAGGTAAAGATGTTAAATCTGGTAAACGCAAACATTGGAGTCAACAAATCTAATATGTGCACGCAGCGTCAAGGTGCGTTTACTTTATGTTTTGCTTGGTCTGCATCCAACTGTAGGTCTCATTTTTTTGTAATATTTGCTTTAAAATGCCCTTCAATTTTGTATTTGAATGCAACTCCAACGAGGAGCATGATGTAAACAAAGATTGCGTCTGGCGTACCAATTTATAATCATTGTATCTCCACTGAAGATTTTCATAAGGTTTAGGTTTTTGCTCAAAACCATATGGTGAGCTGTAATGTTTCACATTTTTGTGTTTTTGTCTGTGGAATTATCCCGGATATGAACGTTCATTTGTCATATTTGCGATGAATTTAATAACCTGCTAACAGTTTTGTATCATAAGCTGAGCAGAAATGCATTCCAATGTGTGAATGAAGATGTAATTAAACTTCAAACTTGAATGGTTGAGAACAAAAGAGGAAATTTATTTGGTCTCTGTTTGAAAATGTTACTAATCAGAAAAAATGATTTCTGTTATTTGATGAAAACATCTAAATATTGTCTACTACAGGCATGGGGCGAATTACATTGAAATGTAATGCATTATAATACAATTACTTTGACAAAACCCTGCATTAAATTACAATTACAATTACATGCGTTTATCAAAGTAATGCATTAAATTACAATTACTTTTGCAAAGTAATGCATTCAATTACACATTACATTTGATAATTTTTTTATCAAGTGAAAACAAAAATCGAACATTTTGAAAAACAACATGAAATCACAAAAGATTCTAGCATATGCAGTAACTGTATATTGAATTTAAGTATGTAAAAAGTCTTTTCAATACCACTATTGAATTTCAACATCATAAGGGTTTTGAAGGTTTCATGATGAATGATATTTCTGGCTATCCGACTGTTTCACTAAACCTATCATAGTTGATTGCTCACTATCTTTGGTTTTAATGTTACAATGTATACTATCTGTGTTTTCTCTAAAAACAAATTACAGAGATGAATTTTAATACTAACTACACAGCCAAATTTTGCTCACGTGAATTTCACGTGAATCTCATTTCACGTGAATTTCACATGAATTTCACATGAATTTCACATGAATTTCACGTTAATTTCACGTGAAGTGATTTCACGTGAAATTCACGTTAAATTTTCACGTGAAATTAT